ACAGATGGGAATAATGAAATGTACTGCATTGTAACAATCCATGTACAAACTGCATACATTGAATACAATTTCTATGTCATGTACCCCCTTCCCTTTTTTCTTTCTGTACCCCCAAGTTACCCTTTATTGAAAAATAAAAATCTTCAATTTAAAAAATAAAATAATGTAATCCTGAATCCTTTTTAAATGATCACAAGAACATACCAATGCATAGATTAGGTCTAACACCAGATCTAGACTCTGAAATTTTATTTTTTCAGTCTGAGCTCTTGCGTGTTTGGAATTTGCATGCCCCTCTACGTAAAGTGTGACTAAAAGGGACACACGGGTGGCCGCGGCTACGCATACTGAACACTGGATGGCAGCAGTCTGCAGTTCACACGCGGCCAGTTCATTCACTGATTTACTGAATTTAACCCAGATAGCTATGCCATGGAGCCTATTTGTGTAATAAAATACTTTGGCTCCATGGAAATTGAACTGTATGTGTGTGGTCTGAGCGCCATTCAGTAATAATGTGCACTCAGACCTAAGCTATCTGGGGATATGTTACATGTCTGTATTTTATGTAATAAAAGTAACCTTGTGTATTTTATTGTATTCTACTGTCTTTTTACTGCCATGTGCTTAATGGAGTTTTGCCTCTGTCCTTGGAGATAATTGGATTACTTCCCAATTATCTCCAGGATAGAGAGGAGGAATTGTGATGTCATTATGGGAGTGTTTTACTGTGTATTATGTGTTTATTGGTTGTTTTACAAAACCCTGTGGGTGGTACTAATGTTTAAGAATGTGTATAAAAGAGTAATAAACCCACAGCTCTGTCTGTTCCTGCTTGACCCTCAACACGGAGCCTTGTCTCGTTCTTGGGGATTTATTGTATGCTGTTCCAGTTCGACTGCTAGGAGTGTAAACCTTTCGTAAGGTTTTTCCTATTCGGCTGTTTGCAGCATTCGTATGCTTCTCCGGTTTGGTGGATTGGTGTCTACAGTAGCTGCCTGTATATCTGGAAGGGAATATCTCCGTTACACCCAAGAAACATCTGGAAAATCATAAATAGCATACAAACCCCCACAATCCACTCCCAACCCTCCACTGTCAAAATGGACAACCAAACACTGCAACACCCCCTAGATGTAGGAAATGCCTTTAATAATTATTTTGTTGGATGTGCTACCACCCTGGTTGCTGAGATAAATGACACTCATTTTCAGACCACAAATAAAGATCAGGCCCTGCCAAATCTTTAAAATTCTTATATAGAGAAATTCAATTTTAGACATGTGCCTGTTAGTGTCATTAATAAACATCTTAATAATTTAGAAATGAAAAGCCAGTGTGGACCAGATCAAATGTCAGAAATGTTACTGAAGCTCAGTGCGCCAGCAACTGCTAAAACGGTCATTACCCTCATCAATTACTCCCTGGTGTCAGGATACATACCCAAACTTTGGAAGACTGCTAAAGTTGTACCTATCCATAAAAGCCGTGACAATACTTTGGTATCTAACTATCACCTGATATCATTTCTCCTGGTATTGTCAAAAATCTTGAAAACATGCGTCCACACGCAACTATGTGAATATTATCAAGGATCAAATTATCTGACCCCTGATCAATCAGGCTTTCGTCTAAATCACTCAATTTCGACTGCCCTCTTAAAGTTTGCAATGACATCCAAATTGGCATGGAACAAGAATAATTAACTGGAGCTATTTTCTTTGATTTTGCCAAGGCCTTTGACACAGTAGACCATGGCATTCTTTTGCAAACCGTAAAAACACAGGCATTGGTGATCGTCCGCTAACCTGGTTTCAATCGTATGTTTCAGACCGATTGCAATATGTGGCCATTTCTGATAGCGCTTCCCTTCCTCCTCCAGTCACGTGTGGTGTTCCCCAAGGCTCCATACTCTGCCCCCTGCTATTCACATTATTTATAATATATAATGATGTGTCTAATGTCTGCAAATCCTCAACTGTACACATGTATGCAGACTACACTGTAATCTACGCTAGTTTTTTTTTTTTTAAATTCTTTATTTTTGTCATTTTTCTTTTGCGTTTGGTTTCAGGGTACAGAATGAAGAGAGGGTAGGGGGATACAACATTTCCTTGTCATATATACATTGCAAGCTTGTTCTGTTTTGAGATATCCTGTTTGACAATTCGTTGTTTGGGTAGGTGAGGGTAGGTTAGTCGTCAGGGTGCTGCTATGGCGTGCGTAATCTACGCTAGTTAACCCAAGCTTCCACAGCTTGAGACTGTGCTCCAAAACCAATTCACAGAGGTAGAAAAGTGGATAGTGGATAACAAACTCTTTCTAAACACTGACAAAACTGTTACAATCAGCTTTGGAACTGTACCTTAATTACGTAAACTACAAAATCAACAACTGTGTAGTGGAACAAATTCAAATAGCACACTGACAGCAGTCTTCTCTTTTAAATATCTAGGTATGTTGCTAGACCCCAATCTATCCTGGCCTTCACATTAAAAAAATCTCTTCAAAACTTTACCCAAAACTAGGTGCCCTGTACAGAAACAAACCCAGCCTAAGCCCTACAGTAAGGAAACAGATAGTGCAACAAATGCCGTCATTGATTATGGGGATGTAGTGTATGCACCTGCACCGCAAACTCACATTAATAAACTTAATACGTTATATAATTCATTCTGCCGCTTTGTACTAGAATGTAATTACTTTACCCACCACTGTAAAATGTTAAAAGAGCTAAACTGACTATCGCTGCAATTCCGATGCACTCTTCATCTTTCCAGCCTTGTGCATAAGAGCATTTCTGGGAAGCTCCCACCCTACCTGAGTAGAATGCTCTGCCCAGCTGTTCCCACCTCCTATAACCTCCGATCCAGTACTAGCACGAAATTTAGCATACCGCAATACAAAAATAAAGTGACTCGATCCTCCTCTTCCTACAGCTCACCTCATGGACACAGTCAAATCTTCATTCAATCTAAAATCTTTTAAGAGATCTATGGCAATATATATATATATATATGTGTGTGTGTGTGTATATATATATATATATTTATATATATATATAGTTTGTATATTGTATTTTTGTAATATTGTATCCTATTGTAACAATGCAATGTTTTGTGGACCCAAGACATACTTGAAAACGAGAGATATCTCAATGTATCCATCCTGGTAAAATATTTTATAAATAAATAAATTATATATATATATATATATATATATATATATATAATTTATTTATTTTTTTAAACGTTTTTCACCAGCAGGGGGACTGGCTGTCAGTTCAGGCAGTCACCCTGCAGGCAACAGTATGGACGCCTATTGCGGCCATGTGATCGCCCTTGGAGTCCTATTTTGCCGAGGGGGGGACTGTCTGGGTTGTCAGACAGTCCCCCCAGTGGAGAAGAAGACCAATCGCTGGCGATCGGGTAAGTGAATGGGAATGGAGGGAGAGGGAGGGAAATGGGTAGGTTAATAATTTAAAATTTTTAAAAATGTATTTAATTTTTAACAATTGTATTCTTCACCGAGTGCCTTGACTCCTCGAGGCACTCAGCACAGGCAGAGCATTGGAAGCTGCCTGATGGCTTCCGATACTCTTCCTCACTGCCGGGCACCACGTGGAGCAACCAGGGGAGCGATCACCCGGTGGGCTGGCAGTGAGGGGGGTATTGCAGGATGCCTCACTGCAATACCATTAGAGCAGCTGGAAGCAAGTACTCTAAATCACCGAAGACGTATGAGGTACGTCCAAGGTAGTTAACGACCGTTTTTTGTCGAATGTACCTGATACGTCCGAGGTCTTTAAGGGGTTATTGTGGATATGTTGCTATTGAATTATTTGTAATTGTGTCAAAACTGTTGCCATATGTTTTACCTCAATAATCACTGATTATTGTCACGCATATTACATATTATTATTTGTCACAATAAATTATATTTTTATAATTAGTCTGTGATTAATGTGTGAAATACAAATTCTCTAATTAACGTACTCCAGGGTCTATAAGAGTTAAAATAGTGGGTAACGCTTCGCTTTAAATCAATCAAGGGGAACAGTGCCAATATATAGATTTTTTTATATAATAAAAATTATGAAATAAATGTTTGATAGTTTTTTTTTTTTAAATCAAATATAATTTTTATTGATATTTGTTACATAAATACATTTATACAAATCACACATAAAAACATTTTGCCATGCGGCTTTCCATTCCTAATAGGAGTTAGTCTTGTTAACATGTAAATTTTGCTAGTTTCCATAATTTGAAAGGACTTCATTTGGGTTAGGAGCCTCTTGGTGTTGAAATACTTTGACCGTAAGCTACACTCATACTGTACAACAAAAATATATCCCATCGAGGAAGAAAGAAAAAATAAAAATAAATAAAAATTTTTTGCCATATATATATATGGATCATTAGAAATTAGAAATTTTGCATGCTTGGGGATCTTGGGTAAAGCCAGAATAAATAAATAACATTTCTATCTCAATTTTTACAAGGCGCAGGATAGCATTAAGTGGGTCTTTAACGCTCAGGTTTTCACTGGGGTCGGGAGATCAGGGACCTGCCCGCCCGGCTGTGGACAAAGAGGCCCACATAGGGTCAATAGAGGTTCCTTCAGTGCACATAAGGCCTTTCAGGAAACCAAGCAATCGGCCTTCTTCCCATCATGCGGAAGATCCTGGTCGTCCTGTGGCAGTCGCAGACCATACAGTGAGTACCATACTTCCTTATTCTTTCCCCACAGGGGTTGAGGGCAGATTAGCTCTGTTTACTCAGACTTGGGACTTGCTGTCTTCAGATGCCTGGGTACGGCAGATGGTCAGGGGCTTCTGTCTCGACCTGCTATCTTCCCCATTTCAGGTTCACCAGCTTCAGAATCCCTGCTTCCCAAAGTTGGCAGAATTGTTCACAAAAATGCGATCCAAGAAGTTCCATACCACTCCCAAGGATTTTACGAGCAATCTGTTCTTGGTTACCAAGAAAGGTGGAGGCGTCCGACCGGTTATCAACTTATGGACCCTGAATACGTTCATCAGGTACCAGCATTTCAAAATGGAGGGCATCCACTGTCTAAGAGACCTCCCTCTGCCCTCGGATTGGATGACCAAATTGGACTTGAAGGATGCTTACTTGACAGTACCTATCGCAGTGGGGCACAGAGACCTGCTCCACTTCACATGGAGTGGAAGGAGATGGAGGTTTACCTATCTTCCATTCGGACTCTCTTCTGCTCCATGGTGCTTTACCAAATTGATGAAACGAGTGGTGTCATCCCTACGAGAATGAGGAGTACGCCTGATCATTTATCTGGACGACATCCTCATCATGTTGCACTCACTAGATCGTCTATGTACAGACCTGCGATGGACAGTACAGCTTTTACAAGACCTGAGTTTTCTCATCAACTGGGAAAAAAAACCAAAACGATTCTACATGGATTTTGTCGCCTAGTAACTCTATATTTCAGACACCAAGCTCAGAACCATGAGGAAAGAGATCAAACGTACTCTTCGAGCTCGGGACTTGTCGGTACGACAGCTAGCAAGGATGATAGGGCTACTCGCCTCTTCCATCCAGGCGATATTCCTGGGGCCGCTTCACTACTGAGCACTCCAGAGAATCAAAGGTTCTTCCACGAGGCTAGGCCACTCTTACCAGTTGCACCTCACTCTAGATTCCAAAGCTCGGGAGGAATTGGAATAGTGGCTTGCCCACATGGAGGCATGGAACGGCCGGGCAATCATCGGGACTACACCAGACATGGTTATTGAGTCAGATGCCAGCTTACACTGCTGGGGTGCCCGTTGCGGCAATATCTCTACCAGAGGCAGATAGTCAGTGGAGGAATCTTCGATGCACATCAATGAACTCGAACTGCAAGTGCCTAACCAGGCGAAATACTGCATCCTGCTCAAGATGGACAACGTGTCGGCTGTGAACTATATCAATCGCCTATGGGGTACAAAGTTGAAACTATTGGCAAACCTGGCAAAAAACTTCTGGCAGTTTTGCCTTCTCAACAAACTATCAGTGATCATAGCGTAACATATTCCAGGATTGCACAATTCATGGGCAGACTGGAATTCGAGATACCTTCGGGACACAGGAGATTTGCATCTACACGCTTCAGTCTTTCAGACAATCGAGAAACTGTGGGGCCCACTGGATATCGACCTATTTGCCTCCAGACCGAAGTGGGAAGTCATACGAGTTGGTGGATCAGGGTCATCTTCAACTGGTGGCTTTGTTAGTTTCAGGAGTACCTGGACTATCCTTGACGTTCCACAATCTACTCTCCGACTCCTCACGAACGCTCAGGCCCCAGGCACAAGGTCAGCCTACCGGACTGCATGGCGATCTTGGGCTAGCTGGTGCGAGGAACGATCACTGGATCCAGCTACTGCCCCTATGAATATGGTCCTACATTTCCTGACTTCAATCTTCGATGCTGGAAAGGCTTATAGGACGGTAACGTTTTACGATCTGCGATATCAGCGGGACATGGTGGCCTATCGGGAGACACCCACTGGTGTGTAGATTATTGAAAGGAATAAAGTTGTCAAGACCCCCTCGGGCAAGATATACCTCATTCTGGGACGTCAATGTGGTGTTACGTCTGTTGGAACCTTGGTTTCCAGATGACACGTTATCTCTTAAACAACTCTCATGGAAGCTACTCATGCTACTCTGCCTCATATCATGCAAGCGTGTGTCGGATGTACGAGCATTGGACTGGGATGCTCTGGTTTTCCTTCCCGAGGGAATGTCTTTCGATATTACTCGCAGGACAAAGTCTTCTTCTATATCTGTACTTTACCAGGACTTCCGGATAAGCCTGCATTGTGCCCAGTTTTGTGTGTAAAATCATATTTGGAACGAACACGCTCCATTCTTCCCGATGGTCATCACCAGCTCTTCATTTAATTTCGGAGACCGCATCTCCCAGTGTCTACCATTTCACTAGCTCGTTGGATACGTGACGTCATGGCGGAAGTGGATACATCCCTGTTTTCAGCACACTCCGTCAGGGGTGCCATGACTTCCAAAGCTTCTGCAGTGGGTTGCAGTCTGGAGGACATTATTAAAGCTGCAGACTGGTCTAAAGACTCTACATTTCGTAATGTTTATTTCCATCTGATTGAGCATATTTCCTCTCGGGTGATCTCTCAGCTTTGAACTTGCATAATATGAGTAATAAAATTAGTAATAAAATTCCCAAATTTTACTATTAACATGACATAAAGTCATTGTAGCGGAGATACAATATTCCACAGATTATCTCCGCTTAAGATCCCAGTGAGGCTCAGGAACAAGTGATTATAAATCCACAAAGCAAGGTTTCCAGCAGGTAAAACAATCCAACAGTAATCCCAATAACTGGACGACACACAGCATCAGGAGCAGAACTGAAAACCTTTATTTCACAGTGGCCTTATAAAGCATGCTCCCATGCAAGGGAGGGATTTTCATCAATTATTACAGTACCCAATCCGACAATAGTAACCTCCCACACATCTCCTCCCCTCAGCCTGACTCATAATCCCCTTATACTGTACCCAAATTCCTCCAGTTTCTGGATGTACCCCAAAACCTAGGGGTACCCCTTTAAATGGCACATCCCCTGGTAGCCCTGATCTGGGTGAGCAACATATCCAAAAATCACCCAGATCGGACCAGGGGTTCGGGAAATTTATGGAAGTACTAAAAAGACAGAGGGAATAAATTACACGAAAGGCTAAGGCTACAGAGATCAGGTAGGGTTCGCCTGAATCCCCTCGTTCGGTTGTTTCTGTCTACCGAACGAGGGGCCGTTCGGTAGTTTGGAACCGAACGGACCGGGCTTGTGGAGTTCTCAATAAAAACAATAAAAGGCTGCGCACATAAAATAAAGTCCAATATAAGTAAAATAAGGAAAGTCCAATTAGTTTGTTCTTACTGGTGTTCTTGATTGATGAGGTCTTCTATTTATTATGGTGGTTTCACTTAATAAAAGATAAAAAAGAGAAAAAAAGAGGGACAACCAATGGTGTAGTATGTAAAATTCGAATCTAGAGGTAAGAATAGTGGTATAAAACTCACATTTACCAGAGCTAATGTCCAGCTCTGGAGTGAAGCGCGTACAGCGGTTTAATCCCCGCTTATGGGATATAAGGCAGGTTCCTCTCCGTGAATGGTATCCAATTCTCGGAATAAAACAAAACAGCCAATAGTGCTCACTGTATGGCAGATAGTAATAAAAAAATAAAAGAAATGTACTTACAAAGTAAGAGCAGACGTACTGCTCTTTGATGATAGCTTGGGTGGATTGATCCCCACCTTACGGATTTCTTTGGGTACAGGAAACTTCCAGGAATTTTTAAGGTTTCTTTTAAAACCAGTTTAAAAAATAATTAAAATAACAATAAAAGGGCCAGGGTAAAAGAGAAAAGTATGTGTCTATAAAAATGATAACTGGCACAAATGAATGACCAATAATAATTTAACCCCTTAAGGACGGAGCCAAATGTACACATTGTGAACAAAACAAAATGTAAACAAAACCTGGCATTTGCGCTACATGTCTGTCCAACCGTAATACACCTCTTTCATATTAAATACACCCACCCTTATTATATATCATTTTATTCAGGGTAAACAGGGCTTTCATTTAATATCAAATATTTAGCTATGAAACATAATTTAATATGAAAAAAATGGGAGAAAATACGAATTTTTTGATTTTTTTAGTTCTAAATTGCATTTTAAAGGTCAGTGTCATAATACTGTTTGATTTTACTGCAATAAAATACACATATTTGTATTTAGTAAAGTCTCACGTGTAAGACAGTACCCCATATGTACAGGTTTTATGGCGTTTTGGGAAGTTACAGGGTCAAATATAGCACGTTACATTTGAAATTGAAATTCGCCAGATTGGTTACGTTGCCTTTGAGACTGTATAGTAGCCCGGGAATGAAATTTACACCCATAATGGCATACCATTTGCAATAGTAGACAACCCAAGGTATTGCAAATGGGGTATGTCCAGTCTTTTTAGTAGCCATTTGGTCACAAACACTGGCCAAAGTTAGCATTAGTATTTGTTTGTGTGTGAAAAATGCAAAAAACGCCAATTTTGGCCAGTGTTTGTGACTAAGTAGCTACTAAAAAAGACTGGACATACCCCGTTTGCAATACCTTGGGTTGTCTACTATTGCAAATGGTATGCCATCATAGAGGTAATTTTCATTCTTGGGCTACCATAGGGTCTCAAAGGCAACGTAACCAATCTGGCGAATTTTAATGTGAAAAAATGAAACGCAAGCCTTATATTTGGCGCTGTAACTTTTGAAAACACCATAAAACCTGTACATGAAGGGTACTGTTGTACTCGGGAGACTTCGCTGAACACAAATATTTGTGTTTCAAAACAGTAAAAAGTATCACAGCAATAATATTGTCTGTGTAATGCTGTTTGTGCGTGAAAAATGCAAAAAACGTCACTTTTACTAGCGATATCATCGTTGTAATACATTTTACTGTTTTGAAACACTAATATTTGTGTTCAGCGAAGTCTCCCGAGTAGAACAGTACCCCCCCCATGTACAGGTTTTATGGTGTCTTGGAAAGTTATAGGGTTAAATATAGTGCTAGCAAATTAAATTCCCTTTACTTTTGGCATGGGTTGTCAGGCAGGTCCTGCTAATTGTAATTAATTAAGATACCTAATTGTGTAAAAATATTACATAAATATATATGTAGAATTAATATATGTATATATATACGCATGTGTATATATATGTATATATCTATATAATTTTTTAAAAATATTTTTATTTATATATAGGTATATATATAGTGATATATACGTATATATTTATGTATATAGATATATATATTATTTCGTTCTACGTGTATTTTGATATATATATATATATTAATTTCACAAAACAGTTAGAACTAAATAACACACATCTATATATTTTTTAATTATTTATTTTTAATTATTTTTTTAATTTTATTTTTTAACGTATTTACATTTTTATTTTTTTTATATTATATATAAATATATATATAACAATAATTATATATATATTTAATCAGTATCAGTCTACGTATAATTTGATATTAATATATATATATAATTATATATATATTAATAGTAAAATACACCTAGACGGTGTATGTGTGTGTATGTATATGTGTATATATATACTTAGATCATATATATATAATATATATATATGATCTAAGTATATATAATAATTTTTTTTTACACCATTAACTTATTTTACTTTTATTTTCAGCCAGCAGGGGGACCACCTGTCATTACAGGCAGCCCCCCTGCCGGCAATACAGAAGCCAGCTATACCCGGCCATGTGATTGTGGGGTCCTCGCTAGGACCCCACTCTCACATGGCCGGGGGGCTTCAACGAGGACGGATGTGCCGCGGGGGGCTCCCTGGGAGTCCCCCCCACCGCGATCGCCGGCGTGGGACCGCCGGCGACCGGGTAAGTTAACAAAAACCGGAGGGCGTACAATTACGCCCGGCGGCGTTTAGAGCCGCCTATTAGAGGGCGTAATTGTACGTCCTCCGGTTTTAAGGGGTTAATATATATAAAAAACACAATATTCAAATATCCATAACGCGTTTCGTCACAAAAGGACTTTTTCAAATGGAATAACATAGTTTACCTGGCACATAGATGTTATATAGGAACATAATTACTTGAATTTTGGCGCCAAAACTTAGTTTAGCCAATCAGAATTAAAAACATGTTTACAGCTTTAAGATACAAAAATAACATAATCAACACATAATTTATAATAATACAACTTGATTGTGGTATATTTGAGTCTAAAACGAGGGTAGGAATGTGTAATTTTAAAAAGTTTAAAATGGTCACATGATCGGCGGCACTTCCGCATTTCGGAAGTGTCGCCGCAATGGTCCATGGGAAATGTAGTTTATATATTCGCCGCAGGTGACGGCCGATTAAAACTTGTATTTTGCATGCTTATTTGGTATAATATCATCCCAGGGTTCCATATCCTAAAACGAGAAGGCTAACTCTCAAATTTCAAAGGATTTAAAACGGTCACATGACCGGCGGCACTTCCGCATTTCGGAAGTGCCGCCGCAATGGTCCATGGGAAATTTAGTTTGTTTATTGGCCGCAAATGACGGCCGA